CACCCCGTGTCCACCCCATGCCACCCTGTGTCCACCCCGCTGTCCACCCTGGTCCACCCTGTGTCCACCCGTGTCACCCGTGTCCACCCCCATGTCCACCCTGTGTCCACCCTGTGTCCACCCCGTGTCCACCCCAGTGTCCACCCTGTGTCCACCCTGTGTCCACCCCGTGTCCACCCCGTGTCCACCCCCGTGTCCACCCTCTGCCCACCCCGTGCCCACCCCGTGTCCACCCTGTGCACTGCCCGTCCTCACTGCCCCGTCCCCGCCTGCCGCTCTGGTAATTTCCCTGGAAAACCTCCCGGTGTCTCGGGTTCAGGGTCACTGGAGCCCATTCCCTGCTGCTCAGCGCCGTCTCTGCTTGCCCTCCTCGGGGCCGAGGGCCTGTCGTCCTCGGTGGTCCTCGTGCCTCTTGGTCCCGCCCGTCCCGCCCCGTGTCCCGCCCTGCGTCCCTCCCGTCCTCCGTCAGCCTCTGCCCGTTTCCCTTCCAGCACCGCAGGGCTGAGGCTCTCGTGTGAAAGGAAAACAGAGAGAAAGAGAAGCTGCTGTGATGAGCCTTACGCAGAGGCGCAGGCAGCTCCCGGGTCCCTGGCCCCCAGCCCCTGAGGGACACCTGCCTCCATTCACAGGTGAAGGTGACCCTGGCGTCTGCTCGCAGCGTGGCCTGGGGCGCCCCCTGGTGCCTGGGCGAGGTGCCTGCTCTGCCTTGGGTTTCCCCGCAGAGGGCTCTGCCTGTCCTGTGAAGGAGACAGGCGTTGAGGCCGCAATGTCTGAACCTAATACTGAGCTCTGGTCAATCTTTTCCTAATTTTTATGTATTTTATTGATGTCAGAGAGGCAGGGGGAGAGAGATAGAAACACCAATGATGACAGCTGCCTCCTGCACGCCCCTCACTGGGGACCGAGCCCACAACCCGGGCCTGGGCCCTGACTGGGAATCCAGCCGTGACCTCCTGGTTCCTAGGTCGATGCTCACCACTGAGCCACCCAGCCGGACACTAAAGGACTATTGCTTGTGGCCTTGGCCACAGCCCCGGCCAGCGCCTGCGTGTCTCGGCCGTGGGTCCGGAGTCTGGTCTCCATGGGGTGGGGGAGGATACGGGACAGCAAGCAGCACAGGAAGATCGGATTCCGTGTCCCACGATGGCCTGCTGAGGGCAGGACGGGATCCCAGGGAATCCTGCCGGCCGAGCCCGACTCGCCCCAAACCCGACGTTTCCTGAACGCCGTCCACCCGCCCTCTCCCGCCGCGGCCTCGCTTCTGGGGCCGCCCCCTCGTCGTCGTCTTCCTCTCGGCTGTCACTGTAACCCTCCCTGTCACCGGCCCCCCTCCCCTCCCCGTTTCATTATCTCCCTCGGAGTGACCGGCCCTCTCCTCCCCTCTGGCCGATGGGTGTTCTGTGACGTGAGGCCCGCCATCACCGTCTCCAATGGACGCCCCTCTGGAAAGTGCCCGCTCCCGAGGGTGCTGATCTCCCCGCCTCGAACATGCTGGCGTGTTAAGAAATGAAAGCAGCCCTAGCCGGTGTGGCTCAGTGGATAGAGCGTCGGTCTGCGGACTGAAAGATCCCGGGTTCAATTCCGGTCAAGGGCATGTACCTTGGTTGCGGGCACATCCCCAGTGGGAGGTGTGCAGGAGGCAGCTGATCAGTGTTTCTCTCTCATCGACGTTTCTAACTCTCTCTCCCCCTCCCTTGCTCTCTGTAAAAATCAATAAAATACAATTTTTTAAAAAAGAAATGAAAGCATAAACAATTAGGAAAGTGAATAATGATCCCATGTCAGTTCATGTGGACGTGTGTGCATGCGCGGTGGTGTGTGTGAGTTTTGACCGTGATTGCCGTGATATAAAGTTTTGAAGGTTTTGTCTGCTCTCAGAGCGTTATGCCGTACGGGTTAAGTCGTCCGGGATGACTTGCTGGCAGGAGAGCAGGGACCCGCGGGGCAGACACTCAGGCGTGTCCCCGCCCTCTGAGGGCGCTGGGTGCTCCCCAGCTTCTCCTCCTCCTCACTGGTGTTCGGACGAACGTGAGTTTACAGAACACGTGAGTTATGACCGACCAGCGGCCTCTAGGTGAGGGATTGTTTCTCAGTGTTTTCTGGCCGTGTCTGGTGTCCGGGAAATGGGATAAAAGAAAATCATCAGACCCGGGACACCTCTCCAGAGCCACAGAGAGAGGACCGTCCCCCTGGGGGGAGCGTGCAGACAGGATGGGGGACACATCCTGGGCGATGGCGGAGAGAAGGCACAGGCAGTCAGAACTCCTGGAGCCTCGAATCAACCCCACACACAGCCCCTCCCACACACAGCCCCTCCCACACACACAGCCCCTCCCACACACACACCCCCCCCACACACACACAGCCCCTCCCACACACACAGCCCCTCCCACACACAGCCCCTCCCACACACACAGCCCCTCCCACACACACAGCCCCTCCCACACACACAGCCCCTCCCACACACAGCCCCTCCCACACACAGCCCCTCCCACACACACAGCCCCTCCCACACACACAGCCCCTCCCCCACACAGCCCCTCCCCCCCCACAGCCCCTCCCACACACACAGCCCCTCCCACACACACAGAGCCCCTCCCACACACACACAGCCCCTCCCACACACAGCCCCTCCCACACACACAGCCCCTCCCACACACAGCCCCCCACACACAGCCCCTCCCACACACAGCCCCTCCCACACACACAGCCCCTCCCACACACAACCCCTAATCGCCCCTAACTCTCTCCCCCACTCCTACCCCTCCCCCCTCCGCCAATCTGGTTGCCCCCAACTGCCACCGCCCCTGCTGGCTTGGTCATTCCCTACTGCCCCTCTGCTGGCCTGGTCATTCCCTACTGCCCCCCTGCTGACCTGGTTGCCCCTTATTGTCCCCCTCTGCTGGCCTGGTCGTCCCTAACTTCCCTTCACTGCTGGCCAGGTTGTCCACAACTGCCCCTCCCTCCCCTCCCTGCCCCCCACCGCTGGTCTGGCCACCCACAACTGTCCCCCCCACTGGCCTGGTTGCCCCCAACTGCCCCCCACCCCCACCAGCCTGGCCGCCCCTCACTGACCCCCGCTGTCAGCCTGGTCGCCCCACACAGCCTGCTGTGAGGGTGTCCTGGCTAATTTGCATGTTACCGTTTTGTTAGAACAGCTACTTCTTCCTGGAGGTGAAACTTAGCAATGGAAAGTTTTTCTAGAAATGGCCTCTAGATACGCAGTGTTCACAGTATGTGGATGTTGGGACCTGTAGCATGACCTTAATCACAAGTATATTATATTGATCAATGATTAGTGTATGGGTCCAATGATTACAAGGTAAGCATATCATTATGAAAACTATACAGCATTTTAGAGCCTTGGGAGCCAATGCTGATTCTACTTTTATCTTTAAAACGTGGCCTTGATGTTCTTTTTAAAAGTAGAGACCCCAAAACATTAGGTTTTTGAAAACTCGTTTCAGGTTATAAAACAGAAAAACAAATGGGGAATAGTAAAAAAAAAAACTTAAAATTTATGTAAAAGGCAAGTTTATTGATACAAAGGGCATAGAGCAGGTGGCAGGCAGTCGCGTCAGCTAAGGGAACTCGGACACAGACTTTCAAAGGAGACGATCCAGGGCATCAACCTCAGAGAAAACACAAAACTAGCGCATTTCCATACCGACCTGAAACACAGACGGGCCCGCGGGAACGTGTCCGCACACGGGGCCCACGGAGCCCCCCTCAGAAAGAGTGCGCGTGGGGTGTTTTTTGTTCTTGCTTTTGGTTAGCAAAGAAAACCAAGGCGTTTCACGTTTCTGTCCTGTTGCTTATGTTGGCAAACACCAAAGTCTCTGTTCACGCGGTTACCACGCGACTCACATACATGCACGCGTGACATCTTCTCAGACGCAGCCCTGAGACGCAGGTAAGAGGCAGACGCTCCGCTCGCCGCCGGCCCTGAGGTCTCCCGGTCCCGTCCGGCCGCCTCCTGTGAGCCGCTCTGGCGAAAGCCGTTTGCAGAGTGCAGCCCCTGGCGCAGGCCTGCCTGTCCGGCCGCTGATTTAATCGGAGGCCGGGCCGGCCTCGGGGAAGAGCAGGCAGGAGCCGGAGCGCCTGGCACTGTCTTTATCGCCGATCAAAGCCTTTGTCCACGCCGCCCGATAAGCCCGGTGCAGCTCGCTGAGCTCGCTTCAACCTTAAAGTTCCATCTCAGGCCTCACCCTGGCCCCGAGGGGCGTGTTCGTGGGCTCAGCGGAATGGACTCCATCTCCTCTAGAATCAATCAGAGCCACAGAGCCCGGCCGGTCTCTGAGGGACCCCACGTCCTCCCGCCCGCGCACACGGCTGCGTCCGGGCGGGGGGTCCCGTGAGGGGCTGCCGCCAGCGAGGTGGCTGGGCCGGGGAGGAAGAGCACCGATGAGGCCGGGGACATGCAGTGCAGACGGGCTGGGCGGGCTGGGGGAGTCCGGGAGGTGGGACTCATGGGGACGCACAGGACGAGGCGTGGAAAGAAGCAAACCTCCGGGCGGCCCCTGAGGCGCGTGTCCGTGTCTCCTCGGCCGCGCTCTGAGCCCGCAGACCGTCACCGCGACGGGGCGGTGTATGTTCTGCAGGTGAGAGCCGAGGTCCAGGCTGCGGTCCAGGCTGCGGGTCCAGGTCTCGGGTCCAGGCCGCGGGCTCCGCTCCCAGGAAGCAGTATCATCGTGGCCATCCACGAGGGGAAGTCAAAAGCTCCACACGGCCTGGCCGGCGCACCTCCGGGGCTGAGCGTGGACCTGTGTACCAGGAGGTCAGGGTTCGACTCCCGGTCAGGGCACAGGCCCGGGCTGTGGGCGCTGTCCCCAGCGAGGGCGTGCAGGAGGCGGCCGGTCCGTGATTCTCTCATCATGGATGCTTCTCTCTCTCTCCCTTCCTCTCTGACACCAGGAAAACACTCCGGGAAAAGCATTTAGGAGCAGGACAGTCCACTCTCTCGAATAACAAAGAAGGAGAAGCGGAGGAGAGCACGCCCCCTACACGTACTGGCTGCGGGAGGGCAGGCTGCCCGGAGGCTTCCTCTCGGAGGCCCAGCTCCGGGGGGCGGCGCGGCGGGCGGGCAGGTGGTACCGGGGGCCCCCGGCCTCCGCGGGGCCGTGGGCCACGCAGGCCAGCACGGCGCCCCCGGCCACGAGCAGCAGGGCGGACGCCCAGCCCAGGTACAGCGCCTCGCCCAGCTCCCGCTTGCGGCCATCGTCCAGCGTGGGGTCGTGGAAGTCCCGCACGATGGCGGCGGCCACCCAGCTCACGGGCGCCAGCACCGCCACGCCCACCACCACGAACAGCACGCCGGCGGCCAGCAGCGTGGCGCCCCGGGCCTTGGCCTCGGCCGCGGCGCAGCGGGAGCAGCGCATGCCGAGGGCGGCGGCCAGCGAGGCCAGGGCGGCCAGGACGCAGGCCGCACACAGCAGCCCGCGGGCCGCCTGCAGGTCGGCGGGCAGCGCCAGCAGCGAGTCGTACACCTTGCACTGCAGCCGCAGGCCCGCGTGGCTGCGGCAGCTCATCCACAGCCCCTCCCACAGCGTCTCGAACACCACGATGTTGCTGCCGATGAAGGCGGACACCTTCCACTGCGGCATGATGGTCACCGCCACCGTGCCCACCGCGCCCGCCCCGCCCAGCAGCAGGCCCAGCCACTGCAGCGCCGAGCTGGCCATGGCCCAGGTCCTGGCCTGGGCCTGGTTCTGGTCCTACTCTGGGTTCGGGTCTGGTCCGGGTCTGGTCTAGGTCCTGGTCCGGGTCTTGGTCCTGGTCCCTGCTTGGTTCTGGTTCTGGTCCTGGTCCTGGTTCTGGTCCTGGTCCTGGTTCTGGTTCTAGTCCTGGTCCTGGTCCCGGTCCGGGCGGCTCCCGGCTGGGCTCCTGTGCCTGAGCCCCAGCGAGAACAGAGAACAGTCCTGCAGGAATGAGCTCAGACCTGGCTTCTGGCTCAGAGCCGCTCGCTGCTCCTGCTCTGAGCTCAGATCCAGTGCCGGCTGCCTCTGCCCGGCCTCTCGGCCGTGGCAGGTAAACTGGCCGAGCAGGTGGAGCCACTTTCTCGGCCAATAGCAGGCGAGGCAGGCAGTCCTGGCCGGTGCAGCGGCCGGAGATACTTGGAATCTGGACAGAACATGCTCTGTGCTTCTCCGGTTTCCCAGAAGCCGGCAGAGCGTTCGCCAGTGGGCACCATCCTGCGTGTGGGCACCGCCCTGGGCTCCCACCAGCTGCCCACCGGGCCCGGCGACGTGGAGGGCACCCTGGTCCAGGCCGTGGCGATTGGGCCGGAGCAGCTGTGCGGGGAGTAACGTGGAGGAGCTGCCTGGGAAGGGGACAGGGGTGGCGGCTGGTCCTCGGACCGGGAGCCGCGTGCTCTGGACACAGGGGCCCGGAGATTGGGGTTAATTTGTCCACAACCTGGCAGCAGGCTGAGCTGGGGAGAAGTCCGGAACAGAGCGGCCAGGACATCCTGAACCCAGGGGTCCCTCGTGCCAAACACACCGTTTCCTTCTGAGCCAGGAAATGCTTATGGCATCTGAGCCTGATGTACAGGGAAAAAACTGTGAGAAAAACCACCTGCCCGGCCGGCACGGCTCAGGGTTTGAGCATCAACCTATGAACCAGGAGGTCAGGGTTCGATCCCCAAGGGCACAGGCCCGGGTTGCAGGCTGGATTCCCAGTGGGGGGCGTGCAGGAGGCAGCTAATCCGTGATTCTCTCTCATCATGGATGTGTCCATCTCTCTCTCCCACCTCCTTCTTCTCTGAAATCAATATAATTATATACTCTTTAAAAAGTAAGAAAAAGCCACTTGAGTCTTGATCTCTAAGAATGCAGCTGCAGCTGACAGTTCCTCCTGTGAAGAGAGAAGAGTCGGCATGACCGGCTGCAGCCAGGACTCGGGGCAGCGACGAGGGCTCAGGGGCGACCACGGCTGCTCCTTTTACGGCTCCGTCCCCTCAGGCCTGTGGTTGGCAAACTGCAGCTCGAGAGCCACAGGCGGCTCTTTGGCTCCTTGAGTGTGGCTCTTCCACAAAACACCACGGCCTAGAGTCTATGTTGAAGTGGCGTTAGGAGAAGTTTACGTTTAAAAAATGCTGCTCTCCAAAGAAATTTCCGTCATTGTCCTGTTGGTATTTGGCTCTGTGGACCAATGAATTTGCCGACCACGGCCTTAGGCCAAAGCAACCAGGATTCTGCAGGTGGTGCAGGAGGGTACACAAATGGCTGCTATTTCTCAATAAGATTGTTGTAGGGTGAGGGCACCAAGGTCACTGACCTCACCTCCACCAGCTGCTCATGGAGCCGTCGTTAACGCCATGTCTGTGAATGGTCCGGGAGCCCTCGGCGTCAGCCGCCCGAGCTGTCTTGTTTTTTTTTGGTTTGTTGGTTTTTTTAAATATATATTTTATTAATTTTGTACAGAGAGGAAGGGAGAGAGATAGTTAGAAACATCGATGAGAGAGAGTCATCGATCAGCTGCCTCTTGCACACCCCCTATTGGGGATATGCCCGCAACCAAAGTGCATGCCCTTGACCGGAATCGAACCCAGGACCTTTCAGTCCCCAAACCGACGCTCTACCCATTGAGCCAAACCGGTTCTGGCTGTCTCGTTGTTTAATACAGAGTGACCGGCTCAGGCCGCGCTCACCGCACGGCGCGCCCAGGAAGAACCAGACGGGACCCAGATCCCGGGAAGGAGCCGTGTGCTGGGCGACTCGTCTCCGGAGCACCCCCTGTCTGCACGTTCAGAGGCGGGTGTAAGGCGGCCAGCGAATGCCCGGCATTCAGTTCCGCCCGCCGACGCCCTCACATGTGCCGACGGCTTCTCCCCGTAAACGCTGCCTGGCATCCTCTGCCCTCGGCTCTCGCTCCGGCTCCTCGGCCCTGGTTCCTGGGCCGGCCCCTGCTCGGTGAGGCTCCTGCTCATCCTTATCCTGACATGGAAGCGTTCTGGTTCTGTCAGCCTAGCCCGGCCGGCCCTGGTGCCTCTGGACGGCGCGGAGCCGCTGTTTTCCGTGGTGTGGACGTCCCCCCGCGTCTACTGGTTAATTATTTCCCGCTCACGCCAGGCCTGGCTGGCCGCCTCGTCCTGTGAACCCCGTGCGCATGTCACAGGCCCCTGTGCTGTTCCCAAACCACACCGGGCGTCGCCCTGCCCTTGAATCCTGCCTGTGTGTCCTCCGCAGCGTGTCCCCCAGCGGCTGGAGTCCGTCCCCAGCCCTGAGGCCACTGGCGCGCAGTGCTCGTGTCCGAGGAAGGTCCGGAAAGTTCTCTTCCCTCCCTCCCAGCGACACGGATCTGTTGTCACCACAAGCCCGTCTTTCTCAGCAACTTCCTGTTCTCGTCTCCGTCTGTGGTTTATTTATTTTTACTTATTTTTGTTCATTGTTGAGAGTATTGCAGGTGGTGCCATTGCCTCCCTGTGGCCCCCTCCACCCAGTTCCTGGCCCCCCACCCCCACCCCGACCTTCACCCCACTCCTGTCTATATCCATGGGTTAAGCATATATGCATCAAGGTCTTTGGTTAATCTTCCCACTCCCTACCCCCCACCTCCCACACACACCCCTTCCCTGTGAGGATCTTCAGTCTTTCTATGCTTCAGTGTCTCTGGATCACGTGTCAAACACAAGGCCCGCGGGCCAAATCCGTCCCGCCAGGCCTTGCAATGTGGCCCGCACCGCGCTGTCATCACTGCACTCCGCTGCGTTTCCATCACAATGACAGTTTATGACTGTTCAGTAAACCATTCGGCCCGCGATTTAGGCTGGATTTTAGATTTTGGCCCCTTCTCTGATTGAGTTCGACACCTGCTCATCAGTTCATTTTGTTCATTAGATTCCACATATAAATGAGATCATGTGATACTTGTCTTTCTCTGACTTATTTCACTTAGCACAATACTCTCCAGGCCCTCTGGGCTGTCTCAAAGGGTGAGAGATCCTTCTTTCACAGCTGCATAGTATTCCATGGTGTGAATGCACCAGTGTGTGTGTGTCTATCCACTCCTACTGATGGCCACTTGGGCTGTTTCCCAGATCTCAGCTGCTGTGAACAGGGGCTCACACCTCCTTTCTGACTGGTGTTGGGGACCTGAGGATATAATCAGAGGGGGTTGTGGTACTTAATGGTCCACGGCCACCGAGCACATGTGTCCGGAAAAGGAATTAAATGAACTCAGTGCTTCATGGGAGCCGGCACATGGCCAGTGCCAGTTACCTTGTCCGTCCACTGAGGTCTCCTCGGCCACTCATGGCCATGTCCCACCTTCAGCAAAAGCCAATGTGGAAACTCAGAATTGCACCACATGGCCCACCTGTGGCTGTGCCTGAGGCTCGTGGCTGTGGGTGGGGCCCATGGCTGTGCGTGGGGCGGCTGGAGGAGCGGGTCTTGGTGACTCCCTGAACCCCGTGTGAGCCTGTCTGTGAAGCGAGAGGCTGTGCTCAGCGCAGAGGGTCAGGCAGAGAACGCACACACGGAGGCCATCCCCGCAGATGGGAGACGTGTGTCCAATCTGGGGGGCACGTTCCTCCGTGGCCTCGGGGAGCGAGTGGGTTCCTACAGCTCTCCCTGCCACTTCCCAGGGCGAGTCCGTGAATGCGGAGGAGAGAAGGGAGGCTGTGGGATAATAGCTTCGATATGGCAGCCCGTGCTCAGTAGAGTATACACGTGTGTGCATACATGTGAAGCTTGTTCGTCTTGATCTCCGAGAGGAAGGGAAAGGAAGAGAGAGAAACCTCCATGGTGAGAGACTCATGGATTGGCTATCCGGCCAGAGTTTTCCCTTTTAACCAGAAGTCGAAACCTGGGCTTTACCCGGGGAACTCTCCCGTTTCCACGCTGCCCACGCCGTGGCTGCCGAACTGGCGTGTGGGAAACCGTGGCCGGGGGGCGCCGGCGATCACCGCCTCGCCAAGGCCCAGTGTCCTCCGCCATCCGCCGCCAACAAGAAGGTCCTGCTGGCCGGCTGCTGGGCCCTCGGGGTGTGTTTCCATGCCGACCGGGAGAGCAGAACCTGCCCGCCCGGAATGTCCCGGGAGCTGGGAGCCGGGAGCCGTGGCCGGGAGGCCCTCGATGTCCCGATAACGGAGCTGAGTCCCTGCCCCGGCCGATGCTATCGCCGGCCACTGGCTCTGCACCAGCTCTGCCCCGGCTGAGCCTGGGGGAGGGACTGTGCCCTTCACTCACCTCGGCTGCCTGAGAGGCCGTGCTGGACGCGGCCCAGTTTAATAAAATCCCGTCACCTTCTCCACGAAGAGTTAGTGGCTCAGCGGCTGAGTCGACCTATGAGCCAGGAGGTCAGGGTTCGGTTTCCGGGCAGGGCACAGGCCCGGGCTGCGGGCTCCATCCCCAGTGGGGGGTGTGCAGGAAGCAGCCGATCCATGATTCTCTCTCGTTATTGATGCTTCTCTCTCTCTCTCCCTCTCCCTTCCTCTCTGAAATCAATAAAAATATATTAAAAATAAAGCGAGGCCGGCCTGTATTTCGTGGCTCCGTGTCACGTTGTCCTGTGGAAACCGCTGATGGTTGTGGTTAGCGTTCCGTCCTGCAGAGCAGGCGGGAATGAGGGCAGAGTGAGCACCGAGCGGGCGGGCGGGAGGGTCCGCGGGCCTGGTACCACGTTTGCCGCCCGGAAGGGGTGTGTTAGCGGGGAGATGGCTCGGAGCCCGGAGGCCCGGGGAGCGGGTGCTCGGGGATGTGGCCCCCGGCTCCCGGGATGGTTAGGGGGGTTCGCACAGCTCGGGCTGGGGCGCTGGGCCTGGGCGGGGAGGGGCGGTGGGCCGCCGTTGGGTCCTGGTGCTGGCGGGGGTGCCCCCTGTCGGTGAGGGTGCCTCCATGGCCGGTCCGGGTCACGGCCGGGGCTGAGGCACCACTGAGGGCCAGACCTTATCGCCATCGGGCTGTAGCTCTGTGTCTGGGGCCAGCTGGACGGCTTGGTGCCGATCACAATCAGACGTCCTCGGGGCGCGCTGAGGGAGGGAGGGAGGGAGGGAGGG